CAAAGCAACCTCGGCGTCCGATCGCAGGCCTTCCGCTCCTTGAGTTCTCTCCAGCGCTGGAAAACTGATCCGATATTTACACGGGTCCTACTTCTTGCCTTGTTTCCTTAAGCCTTCTTTTGTTCCGCAGACGTTTTCCTCTTTTGTTTTTTATCCGTCATCTCTATCTTTCTGTCGCTCGGCTCGGCTAATGTCTGTCCTGTGCACTGAACGCTCTCTCCTCCACATCATGAGTAGACACGCCCCTTACTGCTGATTGGCTACAAGTTTGTTTCGCTATTCGGCCCGAATCAGTTTTCTAAAGCGTTTTTGAAAAATCGCTTACCCCACCTTTAATTCTGGCATCCTTGACCTTGTTATTAAAATCCATTAAAAGTTATTTTAAATGCTGATAGTGAACTAGTAGTTGAGTAGATTTCCACAGACGCTCGGTTATACGACAAATACGTTTAAAAGAGCAGATACTATCATTGATCCAAGGGGCGGATTTATCAGACGAGCTGCTCTGGATTTCACAGGAGCAACTTCATCCAAGACTGAAAGGCCATGCTCATTAAAAGATTGTATTTGAACATCAACGCTACTATTTGTCATAATAATGGACGAATTATCAAAGACAGCAGAGAATTTTTCTGCAGAAAGGTTATTCAGGATGCAAGAATTAATTACTCGACTACATGATGGTGAATCTAAATGACAAAATAAGTCGAATGAAATGCAATTATGATCTGAAATAAAATTATCTTCGGACAAATCAGAACCAATATATAAACCACAACTGAAAACAAGATCTAAAGTATGCCCTCTTATATGAGTAGGACCGGTAACATATTGGATGAGATTAAAAGACTCCGTAATATTTATAAAATCAGTTGCAAATTTATCAGAAACATCATCAATATGAATGTTGAAGTCATCAACAATCACAATTTTAGTGAGCTTAAGAATAGATGATAAAAAAATCACTAAAATCATCTAAGAAGGAGCTGTTTGGGCCAGGAGGACGATAAAATAAAATATAATAAAAGGGTACGACCAACTTGAATCACCTGCAATTCAAAAGAGGAAAAAGACCCAACATTTACCATCCGACAGAAAAAACAGTTTCTAAACACAGCAGCAAGTCCTCCACCACGGCCTGAAAGTCTAGGCAGACTAATAAATGTATAATCCTTTGGACAAATTTCCTTAAGTGGAGCATTTTCTAAATTTCTCTGCCAGGTTTCAGTCATAAACAAAAAATCCAGCTCCTTGGTTTTAACAATATCGTTCAGAACAAAAGTTTTATTAGTTATTGAACGAGTATTTACCAGTGCCATCCTGAGAGGTAGAGCAAAAACTTCGCTGGATATTTTGCGGGAAAGCATGCAGAGTTGACGGGGACTCGATCCGCCGCATGCGAGAACTCCGTTCACCGGCGGGAAAATGGTCTCCACAAACCTATCCGGGAAGACGGGATGGAGATAGGAGAATCTGACATTGTCAGCCGTAGACAAGGGAAAATCATTCCACAGATAGGGCCCATCTGGACCAACACATACCATATACAAACATCACTAAAATTTACAGTATATTTTATCCATGTATGCATTTCATTTTTAATTGATAATTTATTGTTTAAAAAAACGTTTTTTAATGGTAGTATGTAATAAGGCTTTTTGGTGGGGACTAAACTTATTAACGAATAGAGTTTAATGTAAGGTAATGTAGGCTTATTTGGATTATTTGTTTACATCAGCAGTTGGATTGGCATCTGTAATATGTTACTAGGCGCTCCACTGCTTTACTGTCAGAATAACAGCGTTCCTGTTGTCATTCATCAGTTTTAGCATAGCTTAGACAGCAGAGCTAGACAGCCCACTTTAATTAGCATAACTCAAGCCCAAATACACACGGGCTATTATGTGTGTATTTAGAATAATGGATGTTCTTGCTAGCTCTCATCTCATTAATGCGTCTTAAACCTGATGAATGAAATATAAAATATGAACTTACACACCATGACTGTGTTAAGGAATTGTTACAGCTCTGATGATGATCATCAGAACCATGGCAACCATCAGCTAGGATTAATGTGATATGTGAGCTGGCAAACAAGAAAAGGAAACGCAAATGATACAGAAATCAATATTTTCCTCCTCAGAGAGAATAAGGATGTACAGAGATTGATTGTGGATTCTAATGACGTAAGTGTCTCCACTCTTCTTCCTTTCCTCCAGTGACAGTTTTGAGGTAATTTAGCTGTTACGTCATTAATTAATTTAAACTTATTATGACCTGACAGAAGTTCAGCTTTTTCAAGTGCTTTTTTGTGTCTGTAGCTATTTTATTTGTAGCAATTTTATGTTTCACATGTTTAGTTATTGATAGCAATTTTTTGCTATCAGAATTGCTGCTGTTAAACATTGTGTAACTGAAATGTGTATTTTTTAGAAAACTTTCTCATTTCCCTTTTTAATATGTAACTAACTATAAGTAATTAATTTCTAGACTAATTTCCCTAAAAAGTGTAAAAACTGGGGCGCTATCAAAAAATTGCTCCTGTTAAGCTTCTCAACCAGCCTGACACAGCAACAGAGGCTCGGCCAATGGTGTGAGTTTGGGGTGGGATTATTCATTTGGCTGGCCAATAGCAGGTAGGGGGAGTGGCTAGGAAACCTGTTTGAAAACGGACCTTATTTTAATGTGCCGTAACTGCCGTTTGGTGATGTTGGTTTCACAGAAATGACACACTTCGGCTTTAAGTTGTGCTTAGCTTCTGGGACTACATTGAGTGAAAGTGTTTGGAGTGTTTTTGCTAATTCATTGTTTTTGTCTTGACAGGATGATGAGGTGGTACTGCAGTGTGTCGCCGCCATTCAGAAGGAGAATCGCAAATTCTGCCTTTCAGCAGAGGGACTCGGCAACCGCCTGTGTTATCTAGAGCCCACGTCAGAGGCGAAGGTAAAGCCCCATGTGTTCTGAGAAACTAATCACTGCTTCAATATCCCTAAACCTTCCCACTCAACCCCCAATGCAGAGATTGAAGCAAAGCAAAAAACAGCTTTAGACTGCTACAAAATACAATTGCATAATTTTAGTATTACACAATACGATTTTTTTCAGTATGCTGATTAAGGAATACTTTAAACACTGTACCTCTTTGTGTTAAGAAAATTGCATGGTTAAAAATACATGTAGAGTGAAGCAGGGAGACTTACACATATTTGCCTTTGGTATGTTGTCCTCTAGAAGTACATCAAATTAATGGCAAGAGATTCATGTAGTTGAAAACCATGGCAACTGCAATTGATCCTAGTGCTCTGCACCATATTTTGTATGCATCAGGAGGCAAGGCAGTAGAAGATGTGTGGGCATCTCTGTGGTTATGTGCGGTGTATCTACTGAGCCTGACCTTCTTCATACATTGTAAAAATGAAGGTGGCTAATGATGATAATCTTTCTATTATCATATAAAGTATTGGTCTTCTTCATGCATATCTATAAATGAATCCTTATGGATTCACATGCAATGCATAATGTATAACCCTGAGTGACACGGAGACATCTGCTGTAATTGCCTGAGTGACGTAGAAGATAAAACTGTCAGCGTTTACCATCATGCATTACCATCTCCCTGGTCTCTCAGATGCATATTTAAAACTATAAATAGAAAGGCATTTTATGTGAAACATATATAGAGGTTAGGGTTCATATATATGGGTCATAATCAAGGTCATTAAGTTTTTATTGTTGAGTTTCATATGTGCAGTTTTCATATAGGGGCAAATTATGTGCTCAGTGTGGCTTTTAAGATATATAAATTATATTACACACACACACACACACATATATATATATATATATATACAGTGGGTACGGAAAGTATTCAGACCTCCTTAAATTTTTCACTCTTTGTTATATTGCAGCCATTTGCTAAAATCATTTAAGTTAATTTTTTTTCCTCATTAATGTACACACAGCACCCCATATTGACAGAAAAACACAGAATTGTTGACATTTTTGCAGATTTAGTAAAAAAGAAGTATGTGTGTATGTGTGTATGTGTGTGTGTGTGTATATATATATATATATATATATATATATATATATATACTTATTAAAATATGTATAAAAATAATTTCTAGGCTATCACATAATGTGTGAGTTACATTCCTTTGAGTGGAGTTGCGTAGAGGGATTTTTTAACCTGACTGAGACATAATACTTCTATAGTATTTTCTCTTTGTATTTTATGGCTGCAGATGACTTTCCCCAGAGGCATCTGTCACTCTACTTAGCACATTCTCCCCACTCACATGTCATATTAAAACCTGAAAGGGCACTGGTCACCATAAGTCATGGCTGATTTCTCTTATTTCTCAACACAAAGGAAGATGTTAGTAGGAAAATGCTTTTAAAGTATACACTCAGTAAGACTGTACATGATTCAGACTCTAGTTATCAGAAGGTGACAGAATGTTCACTTTCTCAGGATAGCTGAACCAGACAGTCGAGGGGCTTTAAATAGCAGCCTGATAAACAGATGCAGGGTGGGAGAAGACTTCTCTAGACCAAAGGTGGAGCTCACCACTTGCCCATGTTAATCCTTACTGGCCTCTCAAGCTAATCCTAATGAACACATATCGAAAACATAACATCTATTTGGGACTAATGAAGGGCTTTAATCTGTAAACTTAAACACTCTACCAATTATCTGACTTTATCTATATCAAAAAACAAATAAGCAACTACACCCGCAATATCTCTATCTCTCCACAGTATTTTCCTCCTGACCTATGCATCTGCAACTTTGTGCTGGAGCAGTCGCTCTCAGTGCGGGCCCTGCAGGAGATGCTTGCAGGGCAGAGCGGTGAAGGGGTAAGTACACAAATCGCAGTCATTACAGGGTTACTATACTGAATATATCTAGACCTTTCTACTAAGAATACTTCAAAACCTTTCATTTTTGAGTGCATTTCAATGTCAATAGGGAAATATAATGGTGCACTGGCATGGAAAGACAGTGTATATACATATTTCCTAAACTACTCCACTGACTGTAGTTCTTCTGCATTCTATATGACCAAGGGTATGTAATCAATAATGATGACACTGATATTAGAAAACCAGAATTCACACTGGCAGATCTGATTTGGAGAGTTTTATGAATCGGATGTTATTCCTCAGATGCCATAATTGCTTTAGACTTTCAACATAGATAGTAATGCAAATCCATTATCCCTTAATCATTTAAACATCTACTTACTAACAAATGCAGGTGAGGTATGTATTGTCATAAATGGAGAAAATATTGTCATCTTTTTAATGTCTATGATAGTATGGTACCTCACCTTCTGCTTTGCATAGACTAATTATTCCGCTCCATGTCTATTATGCTTTCAGTTGCCTGTAGAAGGTGAAATTATTATTTTTCCCTATTTCATAGTCATGATTTTTTTTAATAAAATGCACTTCACAATATACATTTTATTGAAGTTATTTCAAGTGTTTTTGCTCATGGGTTGCCTCGTCATTTGGCATCGTTCAGTTCATTATATCTAGTATCCAACCAATATAAATATTAGATTTTTATTTCTAAAAACAGTAGCAAGAGTGGGTTTAATTAATTAATTTGGTAAGACATAATGAATTGAATGTGCTAAAGTGGCAAGGGTTTTCCAACTGCCTTTTTTTAATCATATCTGTATCTTTGTTCATCGTTGCAAGAATCCTGATCATGAGCAATGGGTATGTTCACAATTTGTTGACCAAAGAGTATGCATGAATGTCAATCTGAATTATGTAAAAAATATTTAACTTACATAATTATACCTACTGCTCCTTTATAAGCATCCCAACCACTTCTTTAACTAAACTGGATTTTTAAGTGTGCTTTAACTCATGGCATAACCCAACTAATACATTTAGTCAAGGTCTCTCTCATTTATCTCAGGCTTGTTTCCCTCTCTCCATTTTTATGTTATGATTGAGAGTGTGAAAATGTTCCTGTAACCCAAAGAAGATGAATTAACTTGTCAAACCTAGAACCTAGTGGCCCTGAATTATGCAAAGCCCAGAATAAAATCTACTGGCTAAGCATGTTCTGAACAGGGCCATTTGAATGCTTTATTTGCCCTCCCTTCAGCACAAAATGGCATGCTCGATATTTTATTTCATGTTTATTTTTTACTGCAGCATTTTGAAATGAGATTGTCACAGCATATATTTTATTGGCTCGGTGCTGTGTATCTGTTGCGCTAACATTAATGTCTAGGAGAGAATGAGTTCTGTTGGAGAAGCATTATGCAGCAGAGTTACATACAGTACTTCACTGTAAAAATCCCTACGGATGTGTGTCATTTATTTAATGAATTCACTCTTTAATGCCTTTTTTGTGTTGATTATTTGTAGTTTGAGATGTGAACTGTTTCTTCTTGCATTTGGACTCTAACACTCTCAAATTTCAGGAGTACCAATGACGAGGAAATGATCTGGAATGCTGATTCCCTAATGAATGTTTCTTTTTTGGTTTCTTCTTTTGATGTTTCGCTTCTTTTTTTTTGTTTAGCTCAGAAGTAGTATACCATGCTACTTTCAGAGTGTACTATATACTACCATTCAAATGTTTAAAGTCAGATCAAAGTTGACTTTTGTGTTGTTTCAAAAACATTATATTTAAAATAAATGCTGTTCCTTCCAACATTCTATTCTTCAAAGAATTCAGAAAAAAACATATATGTGACCTGGACCACAAAACCAGTCTTCAGTCGCGGGGGTATATTTTTAGCAATAGCAATACTAGCAATACGGGTCAAAATTATCGATTTTTCTTTTATGCCAAAAATCATTAGGATATTAAGTAAAGATAATGTTCCATGAAGATATTTAGTAAATTTCCTACCGTAAATATATTAAAACTTAATTTTTGATTAATAATATGCATTGCTAAGAACTTAATTTGGACAACTTTAAAGGCGATTTTCTCAGTATTTTGTTTTTTTTGCACCCTCAGATTCCAGATTTTCAATAGTTGTATCTCAGCCAAATATCGTCCGATCCTAACAAACCATACATCAATGGAAAGCTTATTTATTCAGCTTTCAGATGATGTATACATCTCAATTTCGAAAAATCGATCCTTATGACTGGTTTTGTGGTCCAGGGTCACATATATGTTGTGTAAACATTTTCACAAACATATTAAGCAAAAAACAGTTTTCAACATTGATAATAATAAGAAATCTGAGTACCAAATCATCATAATAAAATAATTTCTAAAGGATCATGTTACACTGAAGACTAGAGTAATGGCTGCTGAAAATTCAGCTTGGCATCACAGAAATAAATTACGGTTAAAAATATATATTCAAATAAAAGTTATTTTGTAATCAATTGTAATAATATTTCACAATTCTGCTGATTTTGCTGTATCATTGCTGTATTTGTGATCAAATAAATGCAGCTTTGGTGAACATAAGATATTTGTTTCAAAAACATTCTAACCCCAAACTTTTGAATGGTAGGCTAGTATATGTTAATTTTTTTTTTTTTTTTTTTAACATCAGGATGGTTTCTTTGGGATCTTTTTTATCAGCAGTTGTTTATTTTTTTTTTTTTTTTTTTAACATCAGGATGGTTTCTTTGGGATCTTTTTTATCAGCAGTCCAGAGATCTTGCCATTTTTAGTAGGCTGTCAACTTGAAACTGTCTAGAAGTGGCAGTTTCTGGTTAAATGTGCAGCTAACTGTGCAATATCACAGTGACTCAGCCAAGGACTGTTGTTTATCATCTGATGTTTCAGCAAGACAGCAGGCATACTCTTACAGCAACAGCTGGGAGTAGGGAACACAAGTTTCAACTTTCCTCTTTGTCAAAGTCATGCGTTTTTAGACTATCGGTGAGGAGTTCAGATGAAACAGTCCGATATTGTGGTCAAATGTGGCAGTAATTATTATGGTTAATCATGGAAGATTAGTGAACAGTATCACCAGCTGCAGACTTCAAAAGTTTTACCTGAGGTTCTTCATTATACAGTAAATATATTTTTTAATTAAGAGAAACATCTTTTTTCCCTATGCACTCAGAGGCTTATAAGACGGGTAAGTATATTTACTCTGTTCCTCTCTTTCTTGTGGGCCTTTTTTCCACACACTCCTAACATTTCCTCATCTACGGTACAACAATGAAATTTTGTTCTCGTTCAAACAACTGAACGAGAAATTTCCTTTTAACATCCGTCCAGCATGTTCTTCCCAGTGCCAATGTTTCTGATTCAGTGACTCTTTATTTTAACAGTGACCATTCTGTCCACGTCTCTGAACCCTTGCTTTGAGTTGCTAACAACATTTTACTCTCTCTTCTGTAGGCAGCACAGGGAGGTGGACATCGGACACTGCTCTACGGTCACGCCATCCTCCTTAGGCATTCCTTCAGTGGAATGGTGAGAATGCGATGCACAAATTGAAGCCAGTGGGGAGAAGGATTAGGCAGCCTGTCACAGCTTACAGCTCACACACGTCAACTTCATGATCACTGACTCCCTACAGTATATTTGGGGTAGATGGGGAGAAGTGAAAATGCTTTAACATCATGAATGACAAGACGGCTTATGTTTTAATGGGATAATTATGTGTTTATATTATCGATAAACATTAACTATAAAGATTGAAGCTTACTGAACTTGGTCTTCTGGGGGTCTTTACCCGTGATTCAGTGCTGCAGTGTAGGGAACCTTATTTGTCATTATTTGTTAGTAGAATTTACACTTGTTTCTTTGTTTTCCCATAGTATCTCACATGCCTAAAGACTTCCAGGTCTCTGACAGACAAACTGTCTTTTGATGTTGGCCTTCAAGAGGATTCAACCGGTAACAACAACAATGCTATTTTAGTATTTATCAATATTTTGAAACAGCTTTTATTTTGATATTTTCATTTTCATTTTACTTTTTATTTTTAAAAATAATTTTGTAATTTAAATTATTTTATTTATTTCAGTTTTAGTAATTTTAGTACTTAATCTTAAGCTTATTTCAATGTAGTTTCCAAGGCAAAATTTCTCATTTTTTAAAAGTTTTTAATGACAGATAGTATTTTGT